AAGTCCTGTTCCTTTCCCCAGTCACACTTATGTCCTCTGTTTATTGTAGATGTATGCGTAATGATTGTGTTGTGACAAATGATTAAATTAAATTAAATTAAATTAAATTAAATTAAATTAAATTAAATTAAATTAAATTAAATAAAGACTATTATTATTATTATTATAAATATAAGCTACATTTGCAATATATTTCGCTAATTTGCGATTATTTTCTAATTTTACTGCAGTTTTAATTTATATTCAGCCGTTTAGTGGGCCGGCTATAATTGTAGTTGTGATCGTAAGATCGTTATAAATTATATCAACAACAATAGTATAATCTAATTAGCACCAGCCAATCAAATGACAAATTTAAAAAATCGTTTGTCTAATCGGCCAATCAGACAAAAAAGCCAGAATCTGGCTTTTTACATGCGCCGCGGTAAAGAATTGTATCAGGCCTTCCTTCATTCGCTGCCACCAATTAATCCTGGTGAATGAAAACATAAGGGCCTGATACTCAGGTTAAATATAGGGATAACCTCAAACTTTCCTTTTCCTCTGTCACTGTAATTGCACGCTTCAGTTTCATTGTGAATAATCCTTTATTGTATTGTATTGTATAGCAACATATTCATTGGCATAAGCATACAGGAGGGAAAAAAATAGCAGGGCAGAAAGAAATTTGCCCAACTTTTTTGTATTTTGCCCAACTTATCAAAACATTTTTTCCATGGTAAACTTCTATTAATAGTTGTTTCAAATGACCTAAACTTTTTTCTCACTAACCAATTTCTTGCATGTTTTTGGCCATTGTACGCTTATGGTCATTGATATATGCTAATAAGTTGACCACCTAACAGCTAGGGCATTTGTGGTGGGCAATGTCATTAACGTTGCCATCCGGTCACAGAATAGAGACATACAGAAGATTGACTCAACCCAAAAAGCATAACTGCTGCTACCCATTAATTTGCAATGATTCGTCATCAAAAAGCTGTCGACATGGTTTTGAGAGGCATTCAGCCCCTGAAACACAGAATAGAGACACACAGAAGGTCGACTCAGCCAAAAAAGCATAACCGCTGTGGCACCATGATTCACAATGATTCGACATCAAAATGCTGATGCCATGGTCCTAGCCCAGTTAACTCCATCTATTTTGTCTGGAACGATAACATGCAGGAGAAATGTGAAGCCAATGCCAACACCACTTCTCGCCAACATGCTGACGCATGCTGATTTGTAATAGGTCATACAGTGATGGCATATAAGGGGACTGAAATTGACATACCATATATGGCGTGGTAGGCTGCAACGCCACTGCTCACATGTTGCATATGTGAGGCTTCACTCTTTAACTGCCATATGACTGAGTGTTATAAGTAAAATAAATTAAATTAACTGGCCTAGCTAATGCACTTATGAGAGGCGTTCACCCCCTGGACCTCCCTGGATGAGAGGCTTCACCCATTTTCAATACCTACTCTTGTATTAAAATTAAGGTAATTCAGCAGTTTTGCATTGCGCACTTTTACTGCGCACATCTTATAACTTATAATTTCATCCATTATACGTACCGTTTAAAAAAAATCATTTTATGACAATTTTATGTTACTTCAAAACATCTTTGGTTACATTCGTGCAAAGAATTACGTTAAAAGTAATGTTTTCAAAAAAGGCATACAAAAGTGTAGCTAGGGTTCCCTGTATCTGTAGTATATTTATTTACTTGTATTCACATTTTAGTGACACAATTCCCTAAAAAGATCGGTGAGTCCCGTTTTTTAACTGATAATTTATTTCTTTAATGCATTTTACATTTCATATCTAAAATTAAAAGAAAAATCATTTCTGGATCTTGAAAAAAAATCCTTTATCAATGCATGTTCTCAAAGAAAGATATGTAAAGAAACGTGGAAAAGACATTTGTGGATCAGAATTGTACACATTAGTAGTTTTATTTTGCTCAAAACACAATATTTTTTCAAAAATAATTGCAAGATAGGTTTACTAAAACAAAATCCGGGCTAAAAACATCAATAAATATCGGGCTGTTGTGATTTTGCTGTTACTCGTAATGAGCGTGAAGATGGCACAATATTGGGGTAAAGGTGGTATATTGTGATTGTCATATCTTCTTAACAAGTACGGTGACCCCGACTTTTTTGTGTAATTTTACTTTAAGTATATTATAAACTCCATGCCTGGGAAGTTTCAGCACATTCTCATTTCGTGAACAATTACTGCGGAATTACCTTAAAGTACTCTGGCCATGGCAACAGCATTGCAACGGTTATGCCAAAATCATAGGCAAACAGGGCAAATGCCCCCCAGTCCCCCCTTGTGTGCCCCATGAAATCACATTTCTCTCCCCCTAGGAAAAATCCCTTTTTCCTAAAATTATACAAACAAACCAGCGAAGAATAACAAATAGATAAATGGAAGGTAAGTTTTGGACTTTATCCTTTGTCCTTGTTTAACAAAATCGATTTAAATTGTTATGTTTTTCTACCACAAAGTAATGATAAATTATTGTTAATAATTTTTTTTATTTTTTGGATGCTCAGAATGCAGGAAATAGTATTTCCGGGTCTCAAATTTCAAAAAGTATCCCCCTCTAATAAGTAATGATAAATTACGGTTAATATTCTTTTTTACTTTTTGTGCATTTTTTCCTTCTTTTATTTCAAATACAAGTATAGTTAGCATAAATTTTGGAGCAAATTTGGATGCTCAGAATGCAGGAAATGGCATTTCCGTGCTTCAAATTTCAAAAATTTTCTGGGGGAGTTCACCCCCAGACCCCCCATTCATGTATGGTATGTTGGCCACACACGTGCCATTGCTATCCCCCTCAAATGCCCCCCCCCCCCCAGGAACAATTCTTACAAAAGGCCCTGTAGGCAAAACCATTACCAAGAAGTCAACCTTCTGTATGTCTCTACTCTGTGATCAGGGTTGTTTACCATTTACATGGAAAACCCATCCGGTTTGAAATTGTGCTAATGGTAAGCAAAATTTCGGATAGAAAATCCCATTCGGATTATGCACTTTCCATTTCGAGTGACTGACCGGAAGGCACTGAAGTATTTTATAATTCCAAGTTTGTTAAATCGAGAAGAGCCTGGAACTGGTGAAAAAATAAAAAAGATGTAAATGGAACAAAATTTACCGGTTGAAACGTTCCAATCGGTATGAGAGGACAACCTTTTCAAACAAACCGTTCATTCCGGAAAATTTCCGGTTGGGCAGTCGAAATATGCTTGTTCCATTTACTTTCCGTATGGAATCACCGGAATATCCATGTAACCCCGGTGTCTACTGTCATGATATCTTACAGTATAAATAGTAAAACCCTCACATTCACGGCCGCTAAATTGCAGTCTAGCCTAAATGACGCTTGATCTACTTACCAGCGTTCTTTTCTCTTTGTGCATCCAATGAATACAATTGACTCTGTACAACTTAATACTTTGAAAACAATACTACAATAACGAAATGTTGAGGACAAAAAGTATGACACGGGAAAATCAGCGAAATACAGCTGTGGCAAATATATCTCTGATTGAGATTCTGCGAAAAACATCAGGCTAGTGCTTCCATTTCAAATTTTCAATTTCCATGATATCACAGCAAAAATTCCGATAAATTTTAACAAATTTTGATAAATTTGAAAAAGATTTCCAGGAACACTAGGTTTGTCAAGTGTGCATTCTATTTAATTACGTCAAAGGCAAATTTCTGTTTGGAAACATCTGATAACCAGGGGCGTAGGAACTGGGGGGACCAAGGGGGCCAAGCCCCCCCCCCCTCAAGTTTTCAAAAGACACAAAAATGACCTCTCTCCCGGGTGGCAAAGTGCCCTTTGCCTTCGTGAAAAATGTTGTCCTGAAAATAATCTGCTATTCTTGGGAAAAATGCCCTTTAATAAATAATGTCCATGAAACATATCAATTCAACTTTTGGTTAAAATTAGCGCACTGAAAATGATCCCAAAACAAGCATAGAATATATATGCGATCACTCAAGTCCTGATAATGACCATAAATAATGAAGTCTGCGCCCTTGTTATCTCGTTATTGATCAATTAGCCTTTCTCACGGCCGATTTTTCCGCCATTTGTGGGGTACTGCCTCTCCCACGTTTGAGATCTCCGCACCACGCAACTTTTTAGTATTGTAAACGTGTTTGTTTGTATAATGGTAAATTTACAGTTACAACTTTTAAAAGTCGCTTTTCACGTTGTTTGAATTGATTGTCTAGAATCTTTCACGAAGGCAGACAGTACCCCCCCAAAAATGGCGGATTTTGGCGTTCGTAAAAAAGGCTAATTGATATGTAAAAGTGGAAAGCAATCTTGATTTGAATTTCAAATTTCAGTATGGATTTAATATGGATTATGTCCTAGAGTCCTAACCACCCGCCCGCCCGCGTCGTAAACGCGGAGGCACAGAGTATACAGAGGCGGAACTCGCGGCGATTCCTTTGTTCTTTGTGTCCCCGTGCCACGTCATTTCCACGCGCCACGCAAATTGCTCTGGCAAGTGTCATTCGTCGTGTTTTCAGTCAAAAGCATAGGAAAAACACCGTTCGAAAGTAGAAAAATAAATATTTTTGCGAAGTTGCTCAACCGATCTTCATTTTGGGACTCAAATTTGAAAGATAAACGGTAAGTGGTTATTTTTATGTAAAAAGATATACGTTTATAGGCTAAATACCCAGACTGCAGAGTACGGCAAGTGCACACCCGAGATTTTTTTTGGCCAATGGTATTGCACACTTAAACATATTTCGAATATTTTCCAGTTTTGTCAGGCATTAAAATAAGGACTTCTAAGACAAGTGTAATATAACAACCACCTGAAAATCGGGAACGCTGATTGATGGGCACAAATGAAAAATGTCCATTAAAGTTTTGAATTTCGATCTACAGCAGAGTTTTGCGATCATCAGGTTGTTATGATTAAACAAAACCGTATAGCATGTAAGCATGGGCACAAGAGAACTTTTAATTGGTCCGATTTCCTCGAGGCGCCACCATGGTTGGCGCCGAGCGGAAAATTTTTGAAATTTGGAGTCCCTACATTGTCGGAAATGGCATTTTCGAGTGCACACTTTTCCATTTGCAACTCAATTACAAGGACATGCACATTTTCCTTTTACAGGACACAAAGTGTGTCAAAAACACGTTATTTTGTACGTGTTCATAATTACTTTTAACTCCGATCGAAATATATATTCTTGTTTGTTCTTCAGAATTTGGACAACGTTTTGTTTTCCTGAGAGGCAGAAATTTTAGTTATTTGTACAAATAAACAATCATTGTTTAATATCATTAAAACATGTAGCGCTATTTACAAGTGCACACTTGACTACGTTAACTGAGGATTGCACACTTGCACACCTGAATTTTTGTCTTGCACACCCGAGATCTCGTCGAAAACTGCCATACTCTGCAGTCTGGCTAAATACAAAGAAAAAATAGTATAATACAAATTACAATCTCGGTGCTTGTGATGTTCTGCCAAGAAGCAGATTCCCATTTCGCTATAAAATTAATGCGGGCCAAACGTATTGCTTTCCTGTCTTTTACATTAATAAGAAAGCATAGGTGCTGATTTGAAACACGTCCATCAGGTTCCATGCATGTAGCTTTGGGATTTGTGAGCAAAAATTACTAGTTAAAGTTAAAGTAAACTACCTATGTTTTTAATACTTTCTGTGCAACTATAAATAACCACATTCACAAATGTATTCTCCAGCAAAGAAACGTTTCTTTACGGATTGTTATTCCGCATTTGAAGGCATGCTTATGCCTTCAAAGGTCAGAGATCTTGAACATGCAGAATAGCAGAGACTACTGTCATTGACATCCTTTTTAATTGTCACAAAATTATGATGGCATATTGGACAGCAGTATGTTGGATAAGGCACTTCCTTAATAAATAGCCGGACACATAAGTTCATGCAGACTAAGTTTTGTTCAATTTCATTTGTTTTGTAGTCGGTATCTTCAACTGCTTGGATTAGTGGTGGGCTTGTCTAATCATTTCCTGCAGATAAATCAGATTGGCTAGGGTGAAATGCAATCAAATAGGCATCAGAATCTTCAGCACAGCTGCCAATTGAAAGTGGTGTCAAAATGTTATCTACAAATAATATGCAAAATGCTCTGGTGAACTGGATGGGACTAATGGGTTGTCACAATCCCCCCCCCCCCTGCCTAATGAGGCCAAAGAAGTTCTCCAGAGGATCCTGGTTGAGACATCTTGTCATGAGAAACTCCAAGGAATGATGTTGGTTAAGGTCTTGAAATGTAAATACTACAGTGTAAATACTACAATGAAATGTAAATACAACAGTGTAATTGGGGTTTAAAAAATACAAAGTTTATTTTAATAAATGTTTATTTTATTTCACATTTATATACATTTAAGAACTTAAATTATTCAAAAACTAAATAAATATGTGTTCAATGTCAATGAATATTCTAAATTTTTTATTCCAAAATAGGCAATGACTGTTTCCTTTATAGTTGACCCCACATGTTGTCATGAAAATTAATACTAAATAAAAAAAGTAGCCAATGATCCATGTTTCCTCTTACAGTCTCTGCTTTATATGAAAAGTTAAATACTATGAATAATTGCATTGTTCCTTTTATTGATAAAGAGTTTCCCATTAAAAGAGAAAGTATTCCCAATTAATACTTTCCCTTTAAAGTCATGTGCCCACCCCTTGATGAGTAAAATTGTCTGCTGTTAGACAGAGTAAAATAATAAAGTAGGGTGCATCAGGGCACCAAGTTGGGTAACTAACAAGTAAAATTGTCTAGCTTTACAGTACATCTTCCAAGGGGGGCTGGATTTGGAGAGCAGGCCTACCACTTTTAGTTGCATTGGGGGGGGGGGGCTGCTTTTTTGAACCTCAATTAAACTATTACAGTAATCTGAAGGCCTGTTTATATGGTCTCCGGGTACTAGGGAAATCCTACTCCCCCCCCAAGCCACCCTGGCAAGGCAAAATTATATTCATATCCTATTATAGCAATTAACTGCCATGAAAGTGTTTGCATGGAAAGTTTTGAACTTGTCTTGCCTAGTGGGATGATCCAGGTAGCAAGGTCACACCGCCAGGGGGTACAGCATCTCTATTACTCAAGATTAATTATATAAACATTGCCTGAGGCTATGTAAAATTGGTAGGCATTCCAATATAAGATCAAATAGTCTCAGGTTTTCCCCAATCAGGCGAACAAATTAACATAGTTGTAAGATTCTGCATCTGATTCATTGTAATGAATAATGTAGTTCAACAGGAATGATTGGCAATCTAGAAAAGCAAAATAAAAAATAAAATAAATAAACAGATTAGATTTTTATTAAACATGTACAGTGACTTGGCATGTCTGAGAAATTGTCTTTGAGAGCCAAAAAAAGGTTGTCAGTGCACTGTCAATAACCAATGCACTAATTTAGGGGAATCACTATAAAGTATAATTTGACCAATCCCCCACCATTGGGTCAACATATAAGTTAAATAAAGTCTATATGAGTATTTTAGAGTACTGTGGCTCCATGTCCATATCTCCATCAGTCCATGTTGAATGTTGATGTTCATTTTCGTATCTGAATGCTGTTTATGCAATGTTTAAATTAACGACAACCCTTTCATACAACATAGCACTTCACAAAAATATATTGATAATTTCATATATATGAGCTAGAGAAAAAAAACTCACATATAAAGTTGCCAAGTTCCAGCTGGAGTTCATGTCTACAGAATCGAATCTTCAGATTGCCAGAAATTCTCACTCCTTCGGGTGTCTTTTCTCATTTTCGCCGTTAAAAATGGTATTCGTTCAATTCCCTTTCGCTAAGAAGACGCAGTGTGCCATTTATTTGCAAAATTCGTGCAGAAAATGAAGATTGATCGGTTACTGCGCTTAAAATCGCCGTTTTACTGCCAAAATTGGGCTATTCCATTTAATATCCGTACCCCCCCTGTCGAGGATCCCTGGAATTCTTCAGGGGTAAAGGGTTTTGAGCTTGGAATTCTTCAGGGGTAAAGTGTTTTGAGCTTGGAATTCTTCAGGGGAAAAGTGTTTTGAGTTTGGAATTCTTCAGGGGTAAATGGTTTTGAGCTTGGAATTCTTCAGGGGTAAAGGGTTTTGAGCTTGGAATTCTTCAGGGGTAAAGAGGTTTGAGATTGAAATTTTTCAGAGCTTGGAATTCTTCAGGGGTGAAGGGTTTTGAGCTTGGAATTCTTCAGGGGTAAAAGGTTTTGAGCTTGAAATTCTTCAGGGGTAAAGGGCTTTGAGCCTGGAATTCTTTAGGGGTGAAGGGTTTTGAGCTTGGAATTCTTCAGGGGTAAAAGGTTTTGAGCTTGGAATTCTTCAGGGGTAAAGGGTTTTGAGCTTGGAATTTTGGAATTCTTCAGGGGTAAAATGTTTTGAGCTTGGAATTCTTCAGGGGTAAGGAGTTTTGAGCTTGGAATTTTGGAATTCTTCAGGGGTAAACAGTTTTGAGCTTGGAATTCTTCAGGGGTATGACAATGAAAAACATGTATCCTCGACAGGGGGGTACGGATATTAAATGGAATAGCCCATTTTGCATTTCCCTATCTTTTTCCTGATAAAAAATGTGCATGACACTTGCCAGAGGGTCGCGCATGCGCATTAAAAAAGTGGGGACATGATTTGCCTCGAGTTCCGCCTCTTTGCCCATACTTGCCTGAAGCCAACCGAGCAAGGAAATTGCACTTTTAAAAGGACTAAGGAGAGTTTCGAGGAGTGGAAAATTCAGTCAAAGTTTATTTTCGACGAAAAAAAAGTCGTTTTTCATCAAAAGACTTCAATTTTAAAAACCCAAATACGATTTATTTGATAGTTAGAACTGCTTTGCATCTTACAACAGCAAAAGTTTGAAGGATATCAGGTTTGTTTTCATAAAAACGACACTAGTCGAACGTGCCGAAGTGAACTTTGCTCTTTAACTAAAAAAAAACAACTTTAAAACGTAAGTCTACGGACCAATACCTTTTTTGTATTAACGTCTAGGTATAGTTGTTTATTTTGAGTGCTTTTTGACTTCTCTAAAACGTGAATAAATCGATTTTTCCGTAGAAATCCCCCGTGATATGCGATTTGTGATTTGGCGCCCGGCCAAGTTCGCGCGCTGTGACTTTCAAAAAAGAACTGGGGAGAGTTAAATTTCCTCGTAATTTTGTTTTTTTAGCAAAAATACACCGAAAAATTAGGTTTTTCGTCCGAAGATTTCAATTTCAAAGATTCAAACTTGGTTTTCTGGATAGTTCTAAGTATTCTACATCCACTAACAGCAAAATCTCGAAAGGTACCATTTTTGTATTAAAGAAAATAACAAAATATTTTCCGTGCCGAACAAAATACGACTTTCAGGTACACAAAAAATAACGTTAAGTCTTTTCTACGGCTTCCAAACATGATTTGTGCAATAGTCCAAGTATCGTAGATGTTTTTAAGCTTTTTACCTATGTTCTAGCATAGCTAGAAAGGCAGAAATCCGAGTTTTTGGAAGAGGTGTATTTTCGCCTCCGTACCTCCAATGGCGGCCTTCAATTTGGCTTCAAAGATGGCGGCCGAGTTATCGTTCCAGTCTTATTAGAGTTCACTGGGCCGGACCAGAAACTAAAGATTAACTTGTAGTGGCCTAATACAAACATATACAAAATATGAAAACTTCACAAGGCTATATTTTCTGTATTTTACAACATTTTCGTAACCAAATATTGCAATTTTACTATTTTAATAAGTTCTTTACTTTTTTTGCCTAGATCAAAGATTAGTCTAACATGCAAGTAGCCTGCTGGCAGGCCGTTCCTAACATGCAAGTTGTCTATTGTTTTTAGTTGGAGCTCGAGTTTCTCCTTTTGCCTTCTCTTGGTTTTCTCTATCTTAGACTATCTTATCTGACCTAAGAAGTGGATTACAAGCATATTATACAGAGCGGAAGTGTCCGTACTTTCACTTTCAATTCTTGGAATTTGATATATGTTTAGCAGGAATTTCTACACAGCAAATATTCATATGCACCCTCGAAGACAACAGATAAATTTTCTTCGAATTAGCTTTCCTGCATTTCACCACTTTATACTGAGAAGCCGTGATAGATATTAAGGTAGGTCGATATCTTATTGGATAATCTAGATATCGTTAAAGTTTTGAATATTTGAAGTTGGAATACGGTAGAGCTGGTGTGACGAAGAGTCATGAAACAATCGTCATGCTGTTTGATGCTTTTATTAAACATGCATACATAACAATTTCGAAGTCGTCTGTGCCAGTGTAAGCCAGTGAAGGTAGTGGCAAAAACAAGAGTGAATTTTCCCGACCACGCTCACTATAAACTTCTCGACGTAGGGCCATCGCTCGAATCATTCAAGTTCTGCTTGTATAATTTTTCAGGTAGTTGTATCTTTGTAAATCCTCAGCATACATAACAATTTAATATATTCAAACCTGCAATATAACGCGTCGCTATATATATATAGATAACCTTTTAATTGACAAAAATCTGAAAGAACAGCCCTCGGCTTGGTAGCATTTTATTTTTTCGAATGACGTCATTTTGAATTGGACCGATTAAGTTGTTATAAAAATATATTTTAATATATAAATAAATAAACAATTTATTAAAATTAATAGCCCGCGTGCAGGCCCAAGGGAACTGATAGTGTGCCTGCAAGCAAGGCCCGGTATTTTGTACTTTCCGCGTTCGCCCACGAACGCGGCATTCTGATTGGCTGTTTGCTGTTGGATTTTATAATTAGGTCAGTGATTCATCACAAAGGCTCTCGATAAGGGGCCGACCATTTAACTTTTGAGGGGGGGTGATTTTGAAAAAAAAATTCCTGCAAGGCTATTCTGGACAAAAAAAAATACCTGCACTAACAAACTGGGGAAAAAAACATCCTGCCCCAGTATTTGGTGGGAAAACAGCATGGTTGCAGGGATCGATTTGACCAGTCCGAGAAGATCAGCTGGTTTGATTTTCAGGGACTGGTGTAAGGTTAATTTCTTGTTGGAAAACTCCTCAAAATGCTGGAAATAGCTTATCTGAGCTTCAAAAAATCCAAAATTTTCTGGGGGGCATGCCCCCAGACCCCTCTAGAGGCTCGCACCTTCAGTGGTTGACTCAGTTGTTGCTGCCCTATGACGTATACTATTAGTTAAACCATGCATATACAGGGGTTTCAGAATAAGCCGGCTACTTGAACTTTTACCGCCGGCTACTTTTCGTCTGGTCACAAGAAAAATTTTATATACAAAGGTACAAGCGAACCAACACGATGTTTGTTATGTTCCAATTGGAATTCAAGTTGGCCTCGAATTTCCCTGAAATCAATTGACGGCAATGGCGTTAAAAATTGCCGTAGAACGTAACAGCTGTCTACGGCAATTTTGTCAGTTTCCACGGCATTTTTTCAAATTGCTGTAATAAAAATTTAATTTTATTGTTACTTTGGATTGCTGACAAGCTAGAAACATGTTTACGTATTTCTTTAGTGGTTTTTTTTCGAAGAAAACTGAGACTAAAATAGTAATTTACGGATGATTTGATCAACATCTGAATTCAAGTATCAAAATAGTAATGCACAGTGAACAGTTTAAAAATTATACTATACGGCAAAAAATTACCGTCATTGCCACAATGATCCACGGCATTTTGTTCTCCCTCTACGGCAATTGCCGCGATAAAATTCAAGCCCTGAATTCAAGCAAAACATCACTTATTTTGGAAGATCAATAAGATAAATTATAATACATAGTACCAAACATAGCAAAAGAAAGAAGAAGTGGTGAAGTGAAGTTCATTACGTACATAAGTATAACATCATTTGATTAACGATTTCGGACTCTATTACTATTACTGTGTTGTACATTGTCATTCTGTTCATGCAGCTGTAAAAATTAAACTACTAGTAGCACATTAAAGTACATTGTCACTTACAAGTATAAATGCAAATGACATCTAAATCTAACATGTTAACAGTTGTACTTTGTCTTTTTATGTATTCTATATTATTTGATTGTTAATTTGCGGCGAAAATTTTTTAAATTTCCATGCGAGGGCACGCTCCCCTCCCCGCGTGATTTTTTAACTATCAGTCACAGCCGGCTACTTTTTTGGTACAACCGTCTACTTCAAATCATTCTGAAACCCCTGATATATATGCTGTAGGTAGCTGCAGTGATACAGACAGGGCTGTAGCAAGTGGGGTATTGGGGGTGGTTAACCCCCCCCCCCCAACTTTTTTAGAATCAACATAATTATTCAGAAAATCGGGTTGGCCATTCGGAAAATTACTGCAATCATTTAACAGTAGAACAAAATTTTAGTTGTTAAACAGACAAAATATTATAAAATTGTATTGTCACTATAAATTGTAAGCAAATTGTAAATTTCATCATACTAAAACGCTTTTTTCTGACCATCAGCATTCTGTCAAAACTTCCCCAAAGTCCAGGAAACGGCATTTCAGAGACTCGAAATTTAAAAATTTTCTCGGGCCTCCGGCCCTCGTTTTCTGCCCCCAATAAACAAAAGCTCCCTACCGCACTGCTTCTGTAATATGTCTGTGCGTAAATTATGCATATTTTTGTTAATTGTAAATTGCGTCTTCATTTTCCGAATAGCAAACACCTTCATGGCTAATAGTATGCCATGATATATTCGGAAATTATTTTCGTCATTCGCAAATTTTTGGCCTACCCCCTCCCCCCAACTATACATGCTAGCTACGGCCCTGGATACAGACTTGCAGATTGGAACTTCTCCAGGTCCCCCGCTAATTATGTCCTCTCCAGTTGGACATCCTTAAAAAAGGCACTGAACCAAATGTTATACCTCATAGCAAAATGTATTATTAAGAGCAATGCATGAAGCTAAAAAACTCAACGTTAACTATAATCTAAATAGTATAAGCTATTGAAAAAAAAATGCTGCGAAAGAAAGTGTGGCAAAAAAAAAATCGTACATGGTGATGGTGATCAAAAAAATATCTTGCACATAACAATCCCAGAAAAAAAATTCCCTGCCAGCAGTAAATCACCCCCCACCCTCCCCCCCCCCTCAAAAGTTAAATGGTCGGCCCCTAAAACAGATTCAGCGTGTCAAATGTCTTCTTGTTTTTGCCAAGATTATAATATTCTATTGCTGTTCAAACGAGATATTCTATACACAGGATACGTAGAGTATATTCTACTTTGTGTCAAGCAAAAAAAATTATAAAGATTAAACAGATATTCCAAAATATACAACAACCACGAACATTTCATTATTTCTTCGGGAGTTCGGGGAAATGACGGAAATCTTCAAGTTTCAATGGAAGTCTGGCGCATGCGCAACAAATTTTCCGAGACTCGAAATTTTCAGAGACTCGAAATTTAAAAATTTCCTCGGGCCTCCGGCCCTCGTTTTCTGCCCCCAATAAACAAAATCTCCCTACCGCACTGCTTCTATAATATGTCTGTGCGTAAATTATGCATATTTTGGTTAATTGTAAATTGCGTCTTCATTTTCCGAATAGCGAACACCTTCATGGCTAATAGTATGCCATGATATATTCGGAAATTATTTTCGTCATTCGCAAATTTTTGGCCTAAACACCCCCCCCCAACTATACATGCTAGCTACGGCCCTGGATACAGAATTGCCGATTGGAACTTCTCCAGGTCCCCCGCTAATTATGTCCTCTCCAGTTGTACATCCTTAAAAAAGGCACTGAACCAAATGTTATACCTCATAGCAAAATGTATTATTAAGAGCAATGCATGAAGCTAAAAAATTCAACGTTAACTATAATCTAAATAGTATAAGCTTTGGAAAAAAAAAATGCTGCGAAAGAAAGTGTGGCAAAAAAAAAATCGTACATGGTGATGGTGATCAAAAAAATATCTTGCACATAACAATCCCAGAAAAAAAAATTCCCTGCCAGCAGTAAATCACCCACCACCCCCCCCCCCTCAAAAGTTAAATGGTCGGCCCCTAAAGCAGATTCAGCGTGTCAAATGTCTTCTTGTTTTTGCCAAGATTATAATATTCTCTATTACTGTTCAAACGAGATATTCTATACACAGGATACGTAGAGTATATTCTACTTTGTGTCAAGCAAAAAAAATTATAAAGATTAAACAGATATTCCAAAATATACAACAACCACGAACATTTCATTATTTCTTCGGGAGTTCGGGGAAATGACGGAAATCTTCAAGTTTCAATGGAAGTCTGGCGCATGCGCAACAAATTTTCCAGCTGTTGGTCATCCCTCAAAATTTTTTCGGATTTTCCATTTTACAGGAAAGGATTTTCGACATTTTCTGAATCGAGTTTGCTTGGAAAATGCTGTAATCTTAGGATTTATTAGAAATAACGTAATATCCCTCTTATTCCCTTCCTGACAACAAAATTCATTGTAAATTTTATTTCCTTGCATTTTATTTCCTTGCAAATTTTCTTAATTGCAAGTGGAAGCACTGCTTCGTGGTATGCGCGAGGAGCACACGCAGCTTCGAAATGCGTGAAAAAATGGCGACGATATAATGTAAAAATTACATAATTTGAAGGCCAATTTTTGGCAAAACTGCAGGTGTTATCGATTACAACATTTTGTTGTTCGACCTTATAAGCTTTTAAGCAACATTTTCACCCGTCAAATTGTTGTCTCTGTGTGGGGGAAACGAAAAGTCAAAATCTGCTGAGTGGCTGATGGCCTAAATCGGGAAATTTAGTTACCCTGATAATCCAAATGTTATGTGCAAATACATCAATGTCATAAACCGATACAACTAAAAGATAAACCGATACAACCAAAAGATAAACCGATACTTAATCCCATGTAGTAAATTGAAACAGTTTACCAAACCGTGGATCACTGATGGGATATTAAAATCAATAAAAAATAAACAAAAGATGTACTGTACCCATTTTTTTAGTAATAACAGGCGTAAAATCGAACAGTCATAAAGATTACTCTAATAAGTTGAACAAAATAAAATCTGTGAGTAAAAAGAACTACTATACGGCTCAATTTAGTACATGCAAAAACAAATTGAAAGTTACATGGAAGCTTATTGGTAATTTAATAAAACGTAAATCAAAAGGTCAGCAATTTCCTAACCGACTCAGAAGAAACAGTAATACTTATACTGATAATAAATGTATTGTCAATTAATTTAATGAACATTTTATCAATGTTGTACCTAAATTAGCGAATTCAATTGGGACTTGCCTAGATGATCCATGCATGTATGTAGATAATTCTCCAGTATCTAGTTTTGTTATGTACCCAGTATCTGAATCTGAGGTGCAGTCTCTTTTTAATTCATTGGATGGGAATCGAAGCTCTTACTACTAGTGTGCCAAACATTTGGGTTAAAACAGCATCCAATATCTTATCACCTGTTTTTACAGTGATATTTAATGAATCTATATCGACAGGTATTGTGCCAGATGTCCTGAAAATAGCTAGTATCACGCCAATCTTTAAGAGTGGAGCAGTGACGGATCCAAATAACTATAGACCTATATCCATCCTATCACCCTTTGCAAAAATGTTGGAGCGCTTAGTATATAATCAATTGCAAAGTTTTCTAACAAAGCACAACATAATTTACGATTATCAATTTGGATTTAAAAAGGGGCTTTCTACAGAACAGGCAATATTAGAAACAACGGATTATTTCAAAAAGTCAATTGATAAGAACAAAATAACATGTGGACTATTTCTAGACTTCTCTAAAGTTTTCGATACTGTAAATCACGAAATTTTACTATCCAAATTATATAGATATGGAATACGAGGAATTCCACTGCTCTGGTTTCGAGATTATTTAACTATAATCGCTACCAATATGTAAAGTTCGATAACGTTGAATCTGAACAGCAAAAGATGACATGTGGAGTCCCTCAGGGATCAACATTGGGGCCTTTGCTGTTCATATTGTATATAAATGTAATTGTTCAAAATTAAAGCTTTCTTTTCGATATTTGCTGACGATACGAATATATTTTATTCGCATATATCTATAGATGAAATTAAACGAGTAATGAATGATGAACTACATCATATTATACAGTATTGTAATATAAATAAAATTTCGATAAACTACAATAAGACTAACTATATGGTAATTACATCTACAAAGAAGAAAATACATCATATAACGATTAGCAATATTGAAGAAAAATTGTTTATAAAATATTTAGGTGCTTATATAGACAATAAATTAAACTGGAAGTATCAAATAAAACATGTTCAATCAAAAATTGCTAAAAATTTAGGTATCTTAATAAAAACTTCGATATTACACTGATTTAAAGATACTTAAACAACTTTATTATACTCTAATATATCCTTATCTTAATTATGGCTTAATGAGTTAGGGTAATACATACGCTACACAACTGTTCTTAATAAATTGAGATCCTGTCAGAATGCATGTATAAAAAGCATTTTCTTTGCTCATATGAGAGAACATGCTACGCCATATTACAATACTTTAAATATTCTGAAGCTTGATAACATGTTTAAGTTAAAAATTGGTATATTCACATACAAGATTATTAATGATCAATCTAATATTCCTGTTGTTTTTGGTCAAACTATCCAGCTTGCCTCCGCATGCCATTCGTACAACACTAGATTTGCTGATAACCAAAATTTTAGTAGACCAAGAGCTCGAACTAGTTATGGTGTTCATACATTCAATTTTGTCTCTTCGCAAGTATGGCAAAGTATTAATTCTGAAATTAAACTTGCAAGCTCAGTTACAAATTTTCGGAAAAAATTCGCGCACTTTTTACTTTTTTCAGAAAATTAAATATCTCAAATCATCTATCTCGCTTCTAGTGAACTAGTTTAACTAACTTACTGCAGTGGCAATCGAAAGCCTAGGCTACTTTGATCACTGTGCACAACTGTTACTTTCATAATAATATACATAAAGATATTACTCGACTGTGATTGGTTGATTTCAGTGCAGTTAATCCCAAACAGCAGTGCAATTTTCTGTAATCACAGTGCAATTTTCTGTAATCACAGTGCATTTTTTTGTAATCACAGTGCAATTTTCTGTAATCACAGTGCAAAAATCTGTAACAAACTGATCTGATTGGTGGAAAAACATTGTGATGATTAAATCAACGAATCAGTTTAAGGCAATTTAGTTTAAAGAAGTAACGGTCACAGATTGCTTCAAAACAAAACAAACATGGCGCCGCACTACACAAAGTAAAAGTTGCCTTCGCGTGGAAAATATGGCTTTTATCTTTATTTTTAAATGGAAAAGCATTTACCTTAAACAAGACTAACAAAAATTACATAGTTGAGTGGAATTTTCAAGCTGTTAGCGTTGTATAATGTGATATAATTTGGCCAGGAAAACTTTGCCAGTGGAATGTTCGCTATAAACGCGTAAGTTAAAACTACAATTGTCTCGAACATTTTTATGTAAATTAGTATAGGTAATAGCATGGTTTCGAGTGCAATTTGGATATAACATGCACGAGTCAGTTTTTCAACGACCTCAGAATAGCACGAGAACGAAGGACGAGTGCTATTTGAGGTCTTTGAAAAACTCACGAGTGCATGTTTATCCAAATTTCACGAGAAACCATGCTATTACTTATTAATAATTTACATAAAAATGTTCGAGACAATTGTAGTTTTAACTTATGTGTTTATAGCGAACATTCCACTGGCAAAGTTTTCCTGGTTTTGTTATATCACATTATACAACAATAACAGCTTGAAAATTCCACTCAACTATGTAATTTTTGTTAGTCTTGTTTAAGGTAACTGCTTTTCCATTTAAAAATAAAGATAAAAGCCATATTTTCCACGCGAAGGTAACTTTTAATTTGTGTAGCGTGGCGCCATGTTTGTTTTGTTTTGAAGCAATCTGTGACCGTTACTTCTTTAAACTAAATTTCTTTAAACTGATTGGTTGATTTAATCATCACAATGTTTTTCCACCAATCATATCAGTTTGTTACAGATTTTTGCACTGTGATTACAGAAAATTGCACTGTGATTACAAAAAAATGCACTGTGATTACAGAAAATTGCACTGTGATTACAGAAAATTGCACTGCTGTTTGGGATTAACTGCATTGAAATCAACCAATCACAGTCGAGTAATATCTTTATGTATATTATTATTAATAAGTAATAGCATGGTTTCTCGTGAAATTTGGATAAACATGCACTCGTGAGTTTTTCAAAGACCTCAAATAGCACTCGTCCTTCGGACTCGTGCTATTTTGAGGTCTTTGAAAAACTCACTCGTGCATGTTATATCCAAATTGCACTCGAAACCATGCTATTACCTATACTAACTGTCCTATCCGCCCATGTGTCTAGTTAACCCATCGAGTTGCATCGTGCCCTGATGCACCCTATTTTAATGATTATGCTACTCTGTCTAACGCAAGATTATTTCACTATGTCTAATAGACTAATACCAGATTGATTACAG